GCTGAAGCCTTGGCTTGTGCGGTCGCAGGTCTTTCCTCACGCAAAATAAGCTGCACCAAACGTTGGGCCGAAAGTGTGTCTGTCCACAGAACCCAGGGTGGGGTGTGCTTCAGCCAAAACCACTGCTGTGGGCTCCAGACTAAACTAATGAACAATGCACAGGTTGGACAGATGATGTGACAGGCCCATGCTTTGTGAGACCACCAGGATCTGCCACCCAGCTGTCCCCACCGCATGGAGGGATGCATATAGGGCATCTCTGCCCTTGACCTCCCAGGCACAGCCCACAGGCTCATACCAGGTTTGCTCTGGAAAAAAGGGCACAGAAAAACAAACTAAATAGAGCTGAGGCTTTTATTAGAAAAGAACATGTATTCTGTTTCAGTCCTTTGGGAATCCAGCTTTATCCAAGAGTAACTCTGAATCTTGGATGCGTCCTCAAAGGCCTCTTGCCAGCCTGGTGTGGAGAGACTTCAGCAGGTAGGCATGAGGAGACTGACTGGGTTAGCTGGAAGGATCCTAGTCTGTGGCACTGAGGTAATCCTGTATGTTCTTGGCAAGAGATTCACTGTGTGGAAATGTCGCCTGCTTCAGACATGAAACCAGGTACAAAGGGAAGGGCCTGAAAGAGAAGGGAGCACTGCAGCAGCACAGGCTGTGGCATTCCTTTGCCAAGGTCTGACTGGGAAGTTTGCTCCCCGTGCACTGTGCAAAGCCCCCAGCCCCTGCCCTCCCATTTGGCTCCGTGTCAGCTCCTTTGTGCTCCAGGGTATCTTGAAACAGAGGTGGGGGGAATCTCTTCAGGCACGTGTGAGCTCAGCAGGAGGTGAGCTAAACTATTCACAGAGGTGAGCTAAACTATTCACACAGGTTCAAACAGGGGCTGCTGGAGCTCTCCTGTGGCCAGCTGAGATCCCACCCATCCCTTTACGCACCTTCCCTCCCCTTCCTCCTGCCCGTCCTCCCCTGCGGGGCTCTGGGAGAGCTGTTGCCAGCGAGCAGCCGCCTCCTGCTTTCGGTCCAGTTTCCACAAGGCCTGCACCAGGTAGGAGGCGGCAGCTGGGTCACCTGCAAGACATGAAGGGGGATTCAGCCCTTCGGAAGGGAGGAGGAGGGCTGCACTACTGCTGTGGGTTGCAGGGTGTTGCAAAAGCAGTTTAGAAGGGAGATGAGCATGAGGAGAGGTGGTGTAATGTGGAAGAGACTGTCCCGGCTGTGTCACAGGTCCTCATTAACCCTGGGGCTGGCAACCAAGGCAGATGGCATCAGCCCTGCGGCACACAGCCAGTCACGCCTGTCTGGACACAGGTTGGGGTTTTCCTTGCAGGCAGGTTTGCACCCCCAAAAGGAGGGAGTCTCAGTCAGGACTGGAACCAGCAGGTTTGGCAGATCCTGGTGAAGCTCACACCCCTGCAGCGCATCAGCGCAGCTGGGGCACTGAATGCAGAGGTCACTCTTGGGAGCAGCAGTAGCCATGCCTCAGCTGTGCTCAGGACATGTATGGCTCCACTCCCCTCTTCCCTGAAAGGCCTCTGTACTCAGCCTCTGGACTGCCAGGCATGGACATGCTGCCTCCTAGGATGAAGCAAGAGTCCAGCAGCTCTGTTCTGGGAAAGGAGACCCTGTCTGGGAGAAAGCTGGCCGTACCAGGCCGGGGTTTGGGCAGAAAGAAGAGAAACTTCCAAGCTGCCTCAGGGCACAGGGTGTGGGCAGGGTTCTGATACACTCCTCTGACAAGTTTTAGTCTGCTTCTCCAGGACAGTGAGATGACCAGGCCCCAGGGAAGCACCTCAAGCATGTTACACTGCTAGTAGTCCCTGACATTTAAGTGTAGTCCAAAGCATAAGACCTTTCTCTTGAAGTCAGCAAAGCAGCCCAGGACAGACTTGTGGAAATCCTCTCTGTTTCTCACCAAAATGAAACTCTTACTGTGGTGGTGAAACACCCTCCGCCTTGGGTCACGTTGTGATGCCAACATCAGCCCAGGTACAACAGTTCTACATCAATGCCAGCCATTGTAAGTTGAGACAATCTGGCACTTTCTGATCTTAGTTACTGAAGCAGTGAGTTGAGACAGTTCCTTCTGGTAGGTACCTTCTAGTCCCAGTAGAGGTACAGTGAGTTGGGACAGTTAGGCACTCCCTAATCGCAATTGCTCCCTAGGAGCAATTGTAGCCTGAGAAATGTACCCAAGATCCCTCCTACCCCAATTACAAACCCACTCTGAAAGCTGCCAAGATCTCATGACAAGTATTGTGGCCGCAAGGGTTCTGACAAAACTCAATCATCTTGAAACATTATAAATATGCCACCCAAAACGGAGACCCTGTGAGATCTCCTCGATCACAGCAGGCTGCAACCAGTACCTCCACTGAGGTGGGACGCCTCTCAGGCACCAGCTTCTTGAGGCCGTCTGCCAACAGAACTGACAAAAGGCTAGGGTGAAGCCAGCCCTCCTCAATACTCGATGCATTGTGAGAATTTGCTCTAAAATTTGAGAGGAGGGACATTTTACCTACAAGCTAGCTTCTTTATTCATCACTCTGTTTATATGCATTTGTCTTTTACTTATAGGCATCTGCTTCACAAGAGTGAAATCTATACTTTGGTACCAGATATCTTTAGTTTATTTACATGCTTTGTGTACACACACACACACACACACAGATATATATACATACATACACATATATATAAATATACATATATGATATCTTAATGCAAGTTAGCTTGAATCTTGCCATTCTGTGATCTGTAACTAAGTTGCTGTTTTATTATCTGTATTTCTGAATCACCTAAAATATATAAATTGGTTCTTGATTAAGCATTGCTAAAATCGCCTTGCACTTTCAATAAATCTTAAATTGTTGCTAAATCATAACCGTGTATATCGCTCCACCTGCGACACTTACCTGGTGAGATCTGCAAACCGTACTGGAAATCTAACAAGGCTTCCTTGTGCTTCCCCAGCTCCAGGAACTGCGTACCTCGCCCGATGAGGGAGAGCAACCTGATCTTCTGGAGCACCTTCACTTCTAGCAGGAGATTGTCTGGCACAGAAAGACACATAGACTTGGAGATGGCATCCTCCAGACATTCCCTCCCTCTCCCAGCAGACTGAGCCAGGCTAGCAGTCAGGACAGGCCACACATTTCCTTGGGCTACTGTCATGGTTTATACAGTTGCTCTATCACCCAATGTCTTCTACCCCCCTGGGAGATTTGTGGGTTGAAATAGAAATATATGTAATAAAATAATAATAAAAACTAGTATTAGTAAAAGTTGTAGTACAAAATACACGGTTATAATCAGGCAATACTAGGGCAGGAGACGGCCTCAGGAGTAAGACGGTAAACAAATCCCTCTTGAGATGTCAGCCATGGAAGATGGAAAAAGAAGGGAGAAGGAAGGAGGAGAGCTGTTCCCAGCAAATTCCACAATTTATAGCGAATGTGACAATTACGGTATGGAACAGTACTAATTGGTTAGCCTGGGGTCACCTACCTTGGTTTTCCACTTCCCCCAGCCTCTACACCTCTGCATCTGTTTATCCCAAGACTGCTGAAGACCTTGAGCATCACATACCAACATTAGCTGAAATCTAAAAGTGTCTGATCGAGTCCTGACAAAATGACAGCTGTCCTCAACATAAAATTGACTCTTAAATTCTGTCCCAGTAAACCAGGACAGCTGCTCATCTTCCAGGTCCCCGAACAGCCCAAGAGCTTAGTACATTACATGGCTGTGGTAAGCAGTGCCTGGCCTTTGCCTGCCCATCCGCACTACTGGTGCAGATCTCTTCCCTGAAATCTGGATGGGAGAAGCTTCCGAGTTCACGGCCCACTTAACTGTCACCGAGACCACAGAGAAGGAGGCAGAGCCAAGGCTATACCCTGCTTCACAACCAACCCAGCCAGTCCTTTCAGCAGCTCCAGCATGGTGCAGAGCTCAGCAGGCAGGGACAAGCACCTTCTGCCAGAGGTGTTGCTGGGCCTGGAGCTTCACTTCTTTGCCCACTGCTGCCAAACACAGATCCCGACACAGCCAAGCCCCACATGTGTATCAGCTGTGCAGCGTCCTACCTGTCAGTTCAACACCAGACCCATACAGCTGGACTCGCAAGAGATCACTGAGGCACCTGCAGATGAGAGGACAAAGGAGCTTTGATACCAATCCCTGGCTGGGAAGCCATCTGTGAGCTGTCATTGCTGCCTGCTGGAGGAGCTGCTTATCCCAGCAAGCCTTTGTTGCGTTACGGCCTCCTTGCTCTTGCCCAGCGTGGCCCATGCCCAGCCCTGGTGCAGGTACCCAGCTGCTCTCCAGGCAAGGCAGCACAGACTCTCCTTCTGGGAGAGGAGTCCACCCTTCAGCTCTGCCCCTGGCAATAGGCACTCTGGCTGCTCCAGCCTCTCCTCTACTTGTAACACCCGTGGGATCAGGTCAGTCGTCCGGCTGATGACCTCCTCGCACACGGTTATGGCATCTTGGTGCCTCCCGGCCTCCTCCAAGGCAGATGCTGCTTCCAGGAACACCTCGGGGATCCTGGGCAAAGCAGAGTCACTATCTAGGGGCACCTGGGGAGCAAAAGCAGAGGCAGTGCTCAGATGCAGAACTGCAGAACCCCCAGCCAAGCAGAATGACCCCATGCTTACTGGGAATCTGAAGCTGCTGCCCAGCAGAGCTCAGACCCACTCCCAGAGACACTGGAGCCTGCTGGAGGAGGCAGAAGCTGTGAAGCACTAACAGCTCAGCAGAGTCAGGTGGCAAATCCCTACTTTTGCAGTAAAGGACATCTAAAACTGGGCTGACACCTGCTCCCCACAGGGAAGAGGAAGCTGTTTCTCCAAATACCAGTGGCAAGTGGTCTATGGTGTGAATCCAAAGGCAGACATGCCACAGGTCAGAGATGCCAGCCCTCACCTCATTTCCTTCACATCTCAAATTAGACACCAGAGCCTGGAGTCCCATGCCACCTACCTGCTGCTGCAGCCCCTCCTGAAGCAGAGACAGAAAATCCAGGTAATGTTTCACTGCATCAGCCACCCTGCAATGGGGACAGGACATGCAGTAGAAGGAACAGAAGGACCCCAAGAAGTGCCAGCAGCCAGCTGGAACCTGGATGGCCAGCCCATAGGTTCTCCCTGCACCGCATTTTATCTGGTTGAGATACCTATGCTTCCTGCAGACCTACAACAGCTGTACTGAACCAGATGATTTCCAGGAGCACAGAGAAAACCACAGAGGCTAAACAAGTAGCATGCTGCAAGCAGACCAGAGGTGCTGTTACCTCCCATCCTGAAGACACCGCTGTGCCAGCAAGTACTTCACTTCAGAAGGGTGGCGATGGCGAAAGAGAGAAGCTAGTATTGGTGTGTGGACAAGAAGGTCTGTTCGGATTAGGAGATATGGACTAGAGGAAGCAGCTGCTGGAGGGTTTTTTTCCAGAGCCTGTGAAACAGGGACAGAAAATACAGTCAATGCAATGCTGGTCAAGTCCCGAGCAGCTGCAATCGCTTGCTGCTTCTGGCATCTGGAGATGCACCCAGATGAGCAGAAGCACTGCAATTCATAAGCACAGCTATGCTGTTCTCACTCAGGACAGGACAGCCACTTCCAGGGAGAGCAACCAGGATCACACAGGGACAGACAGACATCTGCTCCCCACACAGCATCAGGAGATTTGCAAGATCACCCAGATCACCTCAGGCTTTCATTTCAAGGTGGTCTGAATTGCCTGGAACACCATCTCCCATTGCAGCCGCAGACCTAGTTAGACCAGATCTTAGGCCATTTGTAATGAGAGATCCCTCTTTATAGCCGTGTTTGTATCTTATGGATTTCAAACAGCTAAAGAGATAACTGTCTACTGCTGTGACCTGCTTCTCCCAGGCAGACCAAAGTTACTATCGCTAATGCACACCCCCTCACAGACACAGTCTGCCTTTAAAGGCCTTTTTACTATTAAAAGACTTTACTAAGAGACTGATGATCTCTGACATGAGTGCAGCCTCTTCTCCTAAGCCACCAAGAACATCAACTGGGACCCAAAGGTCTTGCCACGTGCTGAGCAAGAATTTCAGACCTTGCTGGGCTCCTTCCTGCCCACTGCTGAAGGCAGCACCATGTCTGGATCGCTGCAGTCTACTTTGGGGTCCCCTCCAAAGTCAAACAGCCCTCCAGAAGGCAGGAGCCTGCTTGAACCTCTGTTCTGGCCCTGCTGGGCAAAAGTCAACACAGAACAGCAGGAAGCAGACAAACCTCATAGAGCAGAGCCAGGGCCTGCAGCTCTGCATCAGTCTCTCCCAGCTCACGGTACACTGCTGCCACGTGGGACAGGGCAGGAAGGCACTGGAAGTCCAACTGGAGGGCCCGTTTCAGGTGCTGAAGAGCCATCTGAGGCTTGCCCTAGTTAGATGGGAAGAGGTGCAGGTCACGAGAATGTTTTGCAGACATCTCTACCATTTGATGGGATCCAGATCCCTGCTCTGCTTCTCCAGGTCAACACTTTAGACAAAGGCAGCCCTCCTTGGACTGTTTTTTGAGCTTCTCTGCAGCAACTCTTCACACTCAGACAAAAATCACAGAATCACACAAAATCACAGAACATTAGGGATTGGAAGGGACCTCAAAAGATCATCCAGTCCAATCCCCCTGCCGGAGCAGGAACACCTAGATGAGGTTGCACAGGAAGGCGTCCAGGCAGGTTTTGAATGTCTCCAGAGAAGGAGACTCCACAACCTCTCTGGGCAGCCCGTTCCAGTGCTCTGTTACCCTCACTGAGAAGAAGTTTCTTCTCAAATTTAAGTGGAACCTCCTGTGTTCCAGCTTGTGCCCATTACCCCTTATCCTATCATTGTTTGTCACCGAGAAGAGCCTGGCTCCATCCTCGTGACACTCACCCTTTAAATATTTATAAACATGAATGAGGTCTCCCCTCAGTCTCCTCTTCTGCAAGCTAAAGAGACCCAGCTCCCTCATAAGGGAGATGCTCCACTCCCTCGATCATCCTTGGGGCTCTGCACTGGACTCTTTCAAGCAATTCCCTGTCCTTCTTGAACTGAGGGGCCCAGAATTGAACACAATATTCCAAATGCAGTCTCACCACGGCAGAGTAGAGGGCAAGGAGAGGGCTTTTGTAGCTCTCCAAGGAGACTGGGGCCACAAGAGCAACTTCTGCTCAAGACCTCCCCTTCCTGCAGCAGACCAGAACACAGAGGCAGCCCAGACATCAGCCCAAGTCTCCCCACCCAACTCTAGCCTGCGTATCTCCTCTCCCACTAACAGGGCAGAGGCCTGGCCATTACCATTCGCTGAGTGCAGCAGCCGAGGCAGGTGTAGATCTGGGCCAGGACCCTCTTGGAGCAGAATCCTCCAGCAGCCTCATGGAAGAAGGAGAGGGCGGTGGGGAAGTTTCCAGCCTTCAGTTCCTGCAGCCCTAGGACAGACTCAACATCTCAGCTCCGTGGCTCCCCTTCCTGCACTGCCTCCTCCCCAAACAAGTGCACATGTTCTTTTCTTTCCAGTGCCACAGGGACCTATCCAATCCCCTCTGCACTCAGCAATGCACAGCAGGATGGTGCCAAGCTGCCGTCATTGGTTTGATGGTGTGGCAAGAGAACAAGCCACTCAATGGAAACATCTAGCAGAAATGACAGCAGTTCAAAGCCCAGATGATGAAACACCTCCCTTGGCCCAGATCAAGACCAGAGGTAGGTACTGGACAGGTCCACCTGCACATTTGACCACAGCAACAGTAGTACAGGTGTGGAAGCACACATGGAATCTCAAGAAGTCTTTTCCCAGCATGTCTGGGCCATTACCCAGAAGGATGCTTTGGGATATTCATTCATTAATATTTATCATGAGTTATATTTGCTTTTCTTTCAGTCCCCATTTCAAGCTTCCCTCTGAGACCACTCTCATGTGCCTACATCACATTCACATCTGCCACCTCCCTGCTGGAAGTGCTATCACCACCCCAGAGGCTTTTGAGAGGTGTGTAGGCTGGAGTTCCTGCCCCTTCTCCTCACAGGAAGGTCCTGCATCAGCCTGAGCATCAGAGCTGCTGGGGCTGTCAAGACAGTGAATGAGGGAAAACCGTGAGTATGACAGGATGCAGGGAGTCAGATGAGATCAATCATCTGCTGTGGCACCAGGCTACAAAGCTGCACAACAGCTTTTTGTGGCTCCTGCAGCACTGTAACCTGATGGGAACAACATGCTTGCAACAAGGGAAGTGCCAGAAGACAGAAGAAAGTAAAATCATCTTAAGCCTCCTACCACCTTTCTACTTATACAAGATCACTGCAGGACTCAGACACCTACCTAAAGCCACAGACAGGCAGGGGAACCCTATGACAGTGCAGAGAAAGGCTTAGCTGAGGAAAAAGCAAAGAAGCTCTTTGAACACTGAACAGCAAACTTAAGACCCAGAGGCTCAGCCCAGGTCCTCTTCCAAAGGAATAGCCCAGAAAAACCTAAGGGGAGGTTTGCCTGGGAAGAGAAACCAGGAT